CATTCTGAGCCCATGGGTGAGTCTTTCCATATGGAGTATTTCTCCAACAACTTCCAACCAGTCATTGGCTGCAGGGGGTTCCTCCTGTAGCCATTTCCTGGGCCCAGGAGTTCAAAACTTTTAATCCCTATCTAATCAGATCAGATTTGGATTTTGGGGAGTTCAAAACCAAAAAACAGGATTAGGATCACTTTGATATCCGATCAGATCAGGAAATTCAATCCAAGCTTTAATCTGGATCAAATCTTCAAAACGGGTAGTTCAAACCGACAACACAGGATTGGGATCAGTTTGATCCCAAAAAACTGGATTACCCTGATCCCACCAGAGGGGTGGATTTCCAGTGGATAACCAGAGCAAAATGTACTGTACAATTTATTTTAAAATATGTTTCAATTGAAATAAGATGGCGACTTTTTGTTAACTGAAATAATACACACTTTTTAGCCTTCATGGGAAATACATTTTATTTTTCCCATTTTTGCTCACGTTTGTGGTGGCCTATTTGTTTTTCAACCAAATGTTGATGACATAAATGTTGATGCTCATAAAAGTGTAACAGCAAAGATTGTCAATCAAAAATGTAATTTAGATTAAAGTAAAAATATCTTCAACAAAAAAAAAGTCCATCATCTGTCATCACCTTTCAAATAAAAAAATATAATTAGATATTATAGATGTCTCTGCAATGTGGTCTCTTGTCTTCCTTGTATTATTTTTCATGTCCACTAGATGGCGATCGGTAGGATTAAAGCACTGATATTCAGGATCTAGTCATCTTGAAAAATCGTAATCTGGATCAGGGTGATCCTATCCTGAATTGCTTTGAACACCAGGGACAAAATCTGGCCGATTTGTCTGATCCTGGATCACAAAAAATGGGATTTCAAAATCTGATCGGATCTGATTGAGATTAAAAGTTTTGAACTCCTGGGCCCAGGTGCTCCTTTGAAAACCAGTGCAAACAAGTTATGTGCACCCCTGTTTATATTAACTGATTGTGATACAGTAGATGTGGTTTGAAAACCAGGTTTATTGGGTTTGAAAGTCAATGGCAGGTAGGCCTACACTTTATGCAATAATTGAATCATGCCGAGTCGATGACAGTTGATCATTTGTCCCATGTTGCTCATCAAAGCCAAAAACAAACAGCGCATTAAGTATAAAATAATGAATAACAATGTTTAGGACTTTTTACATGTATTTATCGGCCTGCATAATGGCATTTCAAGGCATCTGTCAGCATCTATTGATATTGAGATTATTTAGATTGTTTTCTCTTTTGTGCATCATATTTTGTGTATGTTTGGATATTATATTAAATGTTAAAACTTTAAATGTTTTGAACGGTAGACAGATTTGAAGGATTTCATGTGCCACAACTGCACAAGAAAGAGAAAGGTCAGAAAAGTTGCATAAATGTACACATACAGTTTTTATACAATATATGTAAATGTGTATAGACATTTATCTTTGTATGTGCAAATTTAGGTCACAATGTACCCTTTGATTGAGATAAGCAATGATAAGACAAGAGACGGCTTTGTGCCAAAGTCAGTCAAATTAAATATGTATTTCAAACTTTATACACACTACATTATTCAAAAATATAAATAGTAAATAAAATAAACGTGCAGAAAATGTATACAGTACATGGATGAAGAGGGTTGCAGTCTAAAATCAAATCAAATGTATGAAAGTGCAGATTACCACCATATTTTTTACGAGCAATAAAACTGCAGGTGCCGAACAGGTGGATCTGTGCCACTGTATGACAAATATGTAACACTATTAGTGGTTTCAGTATGAGTTGAGGTTAAACTAACTGTATCTTTAATAATGATTTTCCTTGTGGGCAAAGTAACAACCGTTTCAGTCGAAATATTGTGTATTTCCAACTCAGAGATTGTTATCTCCATCAAATTGCAACAATTGGTTTATTGTAAATCCTCGAATCCAGGTTGTGCTTCGAAATCCTTCAGTTAGCAGTTCACCTGAACGCATCAGTGACGTAATGACGCAGGCGGAGCTGAAGTACGTCCACTGTGCTGCGTTCACAAGCACCTGGCTGTAGGAGTTCTTGACCGTCTCTATCTCTGCAGCCAAAGCGCGGTGATCCTCTCCTGTCTTTAGTAAGGGGTTTGTGTTTACAGCAGCTGACCGAGAGAGATGGACCGCTGGAGGGGCAGAGTGGCCCTGGTGACCGGGGCCTCGGTGGGGATCGGGGCGGCCATAGCCAAGGAGCTGGTCCGGTGTGGAATGAAAGTGGTGGGCTGTGCCAGGGACGTAGATAAAATACAGGTGCGTTTGCTCTGAACTTCAAAGTGAATTATCCTGAGTAGTACACAACACCGCCAAACTACAAGCGAAACTCAAGTTAGCTGTGAGTTAGTTAGCCACACTTCCAAACACTGTGTTGATATCATGTGCTAAAGTGGAAGTATAACTTTAGAGAGACCTGGAAGTGAATTTAGTAGAAAATGCATTTTATCTTTGAACCTCTTTCCACAAGTTGTTTTGCTCCAGCCATTAGATAATAACATAATATAAAAGTTGTTGTTAGTATTGTAGACTAGGCTAGGGAGTATGGGGGCGTACACATTTGATGTTTTTAAAGAAAGGTTGTGATCAAGTGATACGTAAAAATACAAGGAACTGGCCTCTTATTTTCCTGTAGGTCTAAAAATAAATAAACATAAACATTCTCATCTGTTTCTAATCTTGCTGCCAACTTGGTGTGTTGGCAGCAAGTGTTTATCTCATTGAAAACCTCCTGTGGCTTAATCAAAATGGACAAGTTTAATAGGCTACATTATAGCTGACCTCATAAAATGTTATGAAATAAAACATTGACCTCCAACAGAGGTTTTAACTTTCTAAATGAGGTGTGGGTATAGTGTGGCTTTTGTTTGGGATTTATTATCCCACTTATATGATTAAAGATGAGATGCATCAAAACCTGGATGACTTTGCATCTGAACAACTTCCTGGTAAACAACCTGTAAAAGATGTTCCGGGCTTGGCTCAAGTTTTTTTGAGGCAATAATGTTTTCCCACAAAACAACTGCTCTAAAAAGCACATCAAAGTGTATAAATAAGTATCATGAAGAGACATATTCAAATGACCATCACATGTAAATACAGAGTACATATTTTAATTTTTTGTATTTTAGAACCTCGCAGCTGAGTGTCAAAGCGCAGGCCATAGTGGTGTTTTGGTACCTTTCAAGTGTGACTTGAACAACGAGGAGGAGATTCTGTCCATGTTCGCTGCCATTAAAGATCAGCACAAAGGGGTGGATGTGTGCATCAACAACGCTGGCCTGGCTCACCCAGAGTCGCTGTTACACGGCCAAACCAGCGGCTGGAAGAACATGTTGGATGTAAGTGTTTTTATGTTTAAAATAAATATGGTAAATATAATAAAACATGTGTTTCACCTTAACATTGAGTAGTGAATACTAAAAACATATAGAAATGTCTCCGGCAACTCTGAGTTCACTGATTTATAGTTTTTACATTGGCTTAAAACAGGTAAATTCTGTTGGCATCTTGTTTTCCGCTTCTTAACACTAGAGGCCATGATCCGGAAGCTAGTAATGTCTTTACTTGTTCGTTTTCTGCTTGACGTCTTGCAGGTGAACGTTCTTGCCTTGTGTATCTGCTCCCGTGAAACGTATCAGTCAATGAAAGAAAGAAATGTTGACGATGGGCACATCATTAACTTAAACAGGTAAACGTTTATTTATTTCCTTTGATATTTGCAGCTGTGGAATTCCCCTTCAAATGTTAACTAACGTTACTCAATAGAGTTATTACCACAAATACATCACCCATTTTTTAAACTGACTACGGCTGCAACCAACAATTCTATTCAATACCGATTAATTCGCCAATTATTTCATACCATTTGGTTTGTCAAATGTAATAAAATAGTGAGTCACAATATCCTGATGCCTAAGGTGACACTTCATATATTTTGCTGTGGTCAACCAGCAGTCTTTGCAACACCTAACGTTATTCAGTTCACTATCAAATAAGACAAAGACAATTTTCAAACACAGATACTTTTGGTGTTTTTGCTTGAGAAATGACTTCAACAATGAAGATTTGATCATTTTTTTAAATAGTTGCAGCCCTAAACCTAATAGAGTTTAGTGTCTCACGCATTGTCTGGCAATTCTTAGTCAAACGTGGCTTTTTATAGAACGACTTACAAATACATTTTTGGGGATTTTGGAACATTCCCATGTACAAGACTTATATCAGTAAATATAGTTAAGTTGCTGTCCTGGTTAACCCTTTGTATAACTCGTATATCCTCTTCTGTTGCAGCATGAGCGGACATCGTGTAGTCCACAGTACTGATGTACATTTCTACAGCTCCACCAAGTTCGCTGTGACAGCTTTGACCGAGGGCCTGAGGCAGGAGCTGCGTGAGGCCAACACCCACATCAGAGCCACAGTAAGAGATACTCCAAAGTACTTTTTAATCAGATTTACACACCCTGCCAGTGTTGGGAACGTTCAGAAATG